TCCTTCTGAGGAGAGGCTGCCTGTCAGGCCTGTAGTCATATTCCTTCTGAGGAGAGGCTGCCTGTCAGGCCTGCAGTCATATTCCTTCTGAGGAGAGGCTGCCTGTCAGGCCTGCAGTCATATTCCTTCTGAGGAGAGGCTGCCTGTCAGGCCTGCAGTCATATTCCTTCTGAGGAGAGGCTGCCTGTCAGGCCTGCAGTCATATTCCTTCTGAGGAGAGGCTGCCTGTCAGGCCTGCAGTCAAATTTCTTCTAGGATCTTTGGCCTGCCACACTCTCTATTATTTTACGATGCTGTTTCATTAGTGGGGTAATTGGGAGGGGGAATAGTAAGGAGTAGAATTGTGTTGTTGTCAAAATAAAACATTCCTTTCTAAAAGCCCAAGGTTATCCTTTGTATCTGCATCTCTGCACCTGACCGGAACTGGATGGGTGGAAGCTGCCAGCGTGGCAGTGGAAGATTGGACCATGGGATGGACTTATGGGTGTGGGGGCAAGATCTTGAACTTTCAACTGGAAAACTGGGAAGCTTTCAGATTCGGGTTAATGTCAGCGTTCCAAATATCATCCAAAATTAAACCAGAGTCCAAGGCAAAGTGTTGCTCTAAGTTCCAATTTATTAAGAGAGACATGTTGGCACATATGTGGAATACCCGAATCTGAAAGCTTCCACCCACCGAACCCACTGGTGTGTGTGTGTGTGTGTGTTTCCACGAGTCATCCTCCATTTTATGGAGAACAATAAGTGAATAAAATGTTCCTAAAAATCTTACATTAAGTAAGCATTGGAAACCCCACCAAGCAGGGTGGGGGAAATATACCAGATTGAGAGAGGGAGAGAGGGAGAGGGAGAGAAAAGGGGGAGAGGGAGAGGGAAGAGAAGGGGAGGGAGGAAGGGAGAGAGAAAGCAAGAAAGAAATCCCTTCCACCCTTCAAAATAACACAAAAGAAAAGTGTGTCATTTAATTTACTTCCCCTCTCTGATCATCCACATGAATAATTAAATTATAGGAAGGAAGGAAGGAAGGAAGGAAGGATGGAAGGATGGAAGGATGGAAGGACGGAAGGAAGGAAGGACGGATGGACGGAAGGAAGGAAGGAAGGAAGGAAGGAAGGAAGGAAGGAAGGAAGGAAGGAAGGGCAAAAATGAAGAAAAACAAGAACCTCAAACACAACTTTTGGGAATTTTTGTCTTGTTTGAAAAGATGAATGGACATGGCCAATGTGGCCAACAGCAATCTCCCAGGTGGAGGGAAGAGAGGGGGGTACAGACTCATGTATATTTTCTGTGGGGGGGGAGGAAAGAGAGAGAGAGAGAGAGGGAGGGAGAGAGAGACACCAACAACTTAACAATTAATCCTTTTTGCTTCTCCCCCTGCCCCTTAGTTCTCTTCCGGAGTTGACCAGTGCTGTCCATCTGTCCATTCTTCTTATGTTGGGAGGACTTGCTTGTCACACTCCACCATCTGCGGTCTAAACCTTGACCATTTTGGAACCCTTGAAGTCTGAGGGACGTGTAGCCGGGAGACTTCCTCCTTCGGGGAAACGGAGTAAAGGAAAGAGGGAGGTGTGGAAGGAGAAGCATGGGCCACGGGGGTCCATGCACGTTGCCTCCTGGAGGAGAGGGTGGTGTGGCAGTGCAGAGAGAGCCGACGTGTGCCGTGGGGAGGGAGGACATTCTGGTCAAGTGCAGGGGAAGTCCAAGGAAAGGGCACGCCAAGATCCAGATGCTCCGTGAATCCTGTGCCTGTAAACCAGGAAGTGTCTTCTTCTCCAAGGTCACCAAGCCTAGAACTGGAGTCCTGCAAGAACCACAGAAGAAGAAGGAGGAGGAGGAGGCCATGAAGTTCTTCTGGAATGTTTCCAGGTTGTGGGGAGAAGAGATTTCCTTGCTTGGTTGATGGTAAAATAGGCCTGGGGGTTCTCCCCTGCCTCCTGTCCCTTGGAGAGCTTTCTGCTACCTTGGTGGCCTTGTTGGAGAATAGGATGTCCACTCTAGAGCAATGCGACCCAAAGTTGGGAACTTTAAGAAGTGTGGACTTCAACTCCCAGAATTCCTCAGCCAGCCAGCCTGAGGAATTCTGGGAGTTGAAGTCCACACTTCTTAAAGTTGTCAAGGTTGAGAACTTGTGGGAAGACAATTGTGGGACAAAGCTTCTTTGGTTGACCGAGAAGAACAAGCCCTAAACTGAAGCGATTTTTTTCTGACTCAAATCCTTCTTTGGATTTGAGCAACACACTCAATGATAAACTTGCCAAACTTCATGGCAAAGATTCATAGCCAACTTGCCATGGACAACCCGCCAAGGGACAACTCACATTGGCCAAGTCGCCACAGTCAACTCCCCACAGGACAACTCTCCGAAGGACAAGAGTTACCCTAAGCTCAAAGAAATGGTGGAGGAGGCACATTAAAGAAAGGATACAAAAGAGAGGGACGAAATGAAATGGGAGTGACGAAAATGAGAATCGTTTTTAATTTATATGAAAGAACTAAATTGAACTGTTAAATTGTCCCTCGGCGAGTTGGCCATGGCGAATTGACCCATTGTTCCTCCTGCTGTTCTTTTAGAAGAGACTGGGGCCTCCGTGATACTCACTTCCCTTCTGATGTCAACGGAGAGTTCAGACTTTCACATGTAGTGCCACTGTCCCTCCATACCCATCGTCATTCCCATTGGTCCTAGAGAGGAGAAAAGAGAAGATTAAAACCTTCCGGTGGATGATGACTCTGGTACCCGTTGTGGCCCGTCCGCAGAGCCAGCATCAGAGTCAAACAGTGGGGAGGTGGGGGAGGAGCATGGGCCAGTCCTGGAGGCTGGGGAAGGCTCGGACAAGAGCTCTGTTTTGGACACACTGGGAACAGGCTCCAGCTGTTCTTCTGCCTCACTGATGTCTGACTCCGAAGGCAGCTGAGAACTGGCAGACGGCCCTGGCCCCCTCTCTGCCTCCGACACAGAGCCCTCCTCAGAGCCTTCTCCAGACTCCAGGACTGGCCCATCTTCCTCCCCAACCTCCTCACTGTTCCAATTTAATAAGAGAGACATGTTGGTACAAACTGTGGAAAACCCAAATATGAAAGCTTCCTGGGGTTCCCACCCAGTTGAAAGTTCATGATCTTGTCCCCACACCCACAAGTCCATCACGTGGCCCAATCTTCCACTGCCACACTGGCATTTCCACCCAGAGGTGGGTTCCTACCAGTTCTCACCAGTTCGGTAGAACCAGTTCGTCAAATCTACCGAAGAAGAGGTTCCACCAGAAAGCAGGCCACACCTACAGAAGAGGTTCCAAAAATTTTGGAAACCCACCACTCTCTCTCTCTCTCTCTCTCACACACACACACACACACACACACACACACACAC